TCCAACTTATTTAATTTTTAAAAGGTTTAATACATCATTGCTCCTTACTTTTAGGGGTTTGGTTCAAAGTAATCCAACATTTTAAAAAAGTTGAGTAAGACCCCATATTTCTTTAAAAAATGTTAAATTCGATTCTTTCCGCTCACACCTTTAAAAACATAAGGGTGCAAATGTCACGTCATCATCACCATCTCCAGACAAACCCTAATTTTTCTCCAAGAAACCCTAGCCGCCGCACCATCCAACGTCGTCACCGCCATTATCGTTGGCAATCGTCCTCTCCAACACATCACGCGCCACCACCAAAGCGTCTTCTCCCTTGTGTTGCACCTTCTTCACCTTCGCATCTCACCTTCATTCTCGCGCCAGCACCCAACGTGATCCCTTGCTATGCCGCGACCACCAATCTTCACCATTTTTCACCCTCGTACCAGTCAAATCATCATCGCGCTAGCAGCACTGTCGTCCAATCTCCACCACAGAATCGTCCACCATTAACCACTAGCTAAATCGCCAGCTGCTGCAGATCGCGAATCGCCACTCTTCTCCCCCACTAATTGCGCTGCTGCTTGCCTCCACTTGCAACCAAAATCAGACCTGCAAGCAAACCGTGGAGACCTAGGGTTTCTCACGTTCTCGTCGCATAGCTTTGGTGGTGGCGTGTGATGCGTTGGAGAGGACGCTGCCGTCGAGGATGGCGGTGACGACACTGGATGGTGCGGCAACTAGGATTTCTTGGAGAAGAAATTAGGGTTTGTGTGGAGATGGTGATGATGACGTGACATGAACTTTTTTTTTAAATTAAAAAATCATTTAAGTCCACCTATTAACGTGTGCCACTATAGCATTTGTACCGTTATTGTTTTTAACGGCGTGAGCAGAAAGGACCGGACTGAACATTTTTTAACAAAATATGGGGTCTTACTGAACTTTTTTAAAAGGTAGGATTACTTTGAACCAAATCCCTAAAAATAGGACCAATGTATTAAACCTTTTTTTAAAAAATTTATTTATATTAATATTTTGTGAATAATTTAATTTAAACTGTAATTAAAATTATTTTTTTATGTAAATTTATATTTCAAAAATTGCTTCTAAACAATTTTATTTAAAAAATTAAAAATAAAATAAAATATAAAAATATTTGTGAATATTTATTGGTGTTGGCAGATATAAAAAAAGTCATAGATATCATTTTACAAATACCGTACTATTAATTAGATAAATAACTAGAAAATTTTAGATTGAATGGATAATGTGTAGACACTAATTACATTAAATCTTACCTATTGTCATCTTTACTTATAAAGAAAGTACTAAATAATACTTAATTACTTTTTGTATATTTTTTATTTAAAATTCTTATTAAATTGAACATCAATTTTTTTTAAATGAACCTCTGGTAAATTTTTAACAAGCAGATGAAGATGATTATACCAAATCCCTAAAACCTTGAAAAAAAAAGTCGCCCTTTCGACGCTTTAAAAAGTGACGGTATCTTTTCTTTTGTAATATTTGTTTTATGAAGCAATTTTCTTTCTTGGAATGTTTATTGTGCCCAATCTTGCTGCATGATTTTAGATGTTATGTTAAGAATATTTAGGATTGTATATGTTTAAAACAGAAGAAAAACATTTAGCGTGATATATGTTTAAAACAGAAGAAAAGCAAGACAATGGGATGAGAAATTTGATGATTTTGTTAAATAGAATTTCGAAATCATTGCATGTAGTGGAATTGAATATGTTAAAAGTATTGAATAGGGATCTGAACTTTGACAAAAGTGTTCATGTACAAAATGCATTGAACCACTTTACGGAAGACAAACTATTATAGTCTCAACGAAGAGACAGCCACTAACGTATACGATGGCACGCTCTGATCTTAGGCCATTACACTCTATCCCGCATTGCCAACTTCCTCATTTCACAAAGTCTTTCCTTATATTCGTTAAGAAAAATAGATAAAATAGATATGAAAATGAGTTTATATACATTTAAAATATTTATATTAGGAAAAAGTATTTTAAAGTGATATCAAATAGGGTGTTGCTCCTTCCACCACCATCCTATATTCCTCCACCTCCTCACATTATTTTAAATACAATTATATCCTTAAGTTAAAAAGATTTTTACTTTTATCCTATTTTAAATAATTTGAAACCCTAATTTTACTTTCTCAGCACCCACCCACGGAACTCTATTCCTATTTCCCCATTTTCGTTTCACCTTCCCACCTCCCGCACTTCCATTCCTTTTTCTTCCCAGTTTTTATTTTGTTTGAAAGCTTCCATTGCAGCCGTGGTGTGAAGGAGCGTCTCCGCCGTGGTGTGGAGGAACATCGAGGAGCGTCCAGAGCATCAATCAGCGTGAGGAAGTATACATCAATGGAGGTGACATCCTTACACGGATGTCCCCTAATAAAACAAACTCTAAAATAAAAAATGTAACCTTTAAACGGAGGTGACATCTTCAACGGATCTCAACATCCGTTTAAGGTAAAACGGATCCGTTTTTCTTAAACGGATGTTGACATCCTTTGAAGGATGTTGACATCCGTTGAAGGACGTTGAAGGATGTCACCTCCGTTTACTTTTTTATTTTAGGGTTTTATTTCAAGGTTTATTCGAATCGAGGAAGCACGACAACACACTGCACCACTCCAACGCACTGCACCACTCCACGCATTGTACCACAAGAGCGACACTGCACCATGAGAGGGAGATTGCTTGATAATTCTTTCCACCACCACCAACCTTTGCAACTTGTAGTATCTCACAACGACGAAAAAAGAGAGGAAGAGAAACATAATGTTAAAATGAAAGAAAAAATTTTACTCATGTACGAGACAGAATAGGTTATTAGTGAAACGAGGACTAGAATAGGTTATTAGTGAAATAGATTGTAAATGAGTAAAATTAAAAAATAATAACCCTAAAAATAAAATTTTAAAATTTTACTGAAAGACAAAATAGTAAAGAGGAGGTGGAGGGAGAAAGGTATGGTGATGGAGAGAACAACACCCTCAAAAGTAATATTTTGAGAATTTGATTTAAAACGGACAATTTATTATGAGTGTGAAGACCACTATGAAATTATCTCACCTTACAATTGATAAATGATTCATAAAAAAGGTGAAAAGAGTGATACAGTGTACTTATAAATAAAAACGATTTTGTGTTTGAAAAATATATTAGAAAGTAAAAGAAAAAAATGTTTAAATTATTGGTTGTGGTTGGAACAATGTGAAAAACTAATAATTAATATTTTATTCTAAAGTTTTTTTATTGTCGAAGTGCTTTTGAGTAAGTTTTCAGTTTAATTAGTTTTTTGTGATACATAGGCCAATTGAGTTTTCCAAAATTTTAAAAGCACTTTTTCAGTTTCTGACTTCGCAAAGAAAATGTATTTTAATCCCTTTTACTTTATTTGTTTCATTATTCACACTAATTGTGTGGATATTAAACCCGATTAGACTTACATGATTGATGTCATGCATTCCTAGTTTGTCAACCTCCGAAAACAAAGCTGACTCTTGATACGTATATATGTGATGTTATTCAATTTCTAAATTTCGTTTTAAAATAACAGTAATCATGGGAGGGAAATTCAAAAGGTGCAACTTTTTCTATAATTAGTAAATACCGATCACTCTGATGTTTTATGTACGAGGAACACTTTTAGTAACTTTACCATAATTATTTTAAATCTCCAATAGTGATTTGTGTTTTAAGCTAATTCGGCCGAGAGATCTACTAATTTTTACAGCCCCGAGTAAATAAAGAATATTCTTAGCATTAAAAGTGAAAAAAAGAAAAAACGTGAGAAAAAACCTAAGTTAGACAAAATAAAAGCATGAGTATATTTTTCGATGTCCTTGATAGAATTGGAATTGTCAATGCAGTATTCATTTTGTTTCCTAAAAAGTTGGAACAAGATATTCAATGAATTTGTATTGTTATCCAAGACATGTCACTAGAGTTGGGCCCAATTATGATGATAAACGTGTGAGTTTTGATGAACCAGGCATGGTTCTTATCCTAAGGCTTCACTACTAGTAAACAAAAACGATGACAGTTCTTATCCGAATCCGATTTCGCAAGAAAGAAGAAGAAAAAAATTGTTACCAGGATTGAAAAAGTGCAATGACTAAAAACGAAACGCCAAGTTCTTGAAGAGGAATTTAGAGAATAAAAGGCAGGTGGGCAAAGGAATAAAGTTGAAGTTGACAAGAATAGGATAATTGAAGACCAGGGTCAACTAAATTGGTTTGACTTAAATGGTTATAGCGAAGACGAAATTGGCTTTAATTTTGTTAGTATTAATGATTTAGAGAGGCTTTTATTGAAATGGGGGCAAAGACACTTTAGATGAAATGAAATTGAAAGTGAGCAAAAGGGGAAAAAAGATTAATAAAAGGCATTGTAATAAATAAAACATTCCCTGTTGTGTATGTGCTAAATTTGAGTAAGATGTACCTCTCTGTGCTGTCAATTACATATATAGTTGAAGTCTTACATCTCTCCCTAGAAAATTGAAGATACAGATCAATGTGGTCCAATTTTTGATGTTTGTGGTGCAAACCGTCATAGGTGGTATAGGAGCTGAGGACAAGTTGAGAGTTGCCCCCACCCATAGTAATCAACATACGAGTCACAATAAACCTCGGGGAACCATGTACTTCGTTTAGACGCAGATCAGGCCAAGGTTTTTGTCTCTCACTGCATAGTGCCAAATTCCAAATATTCAATTCATTCATAAAACACCTCCTCAACTTGCAAATTCCATCACCCAAATAAATAATTATCTCTCATAAAATAGACTACTGCTTTTATCAAACTCATTATATATTTCTTTAATCCTTACTCCCAATTATCATGTAATCACGTGTGCTATCTTGTCTATAGCTAAACTCCCACTGCCATATTGTACTATCTATCACATTACCGTTTCTTATTTATCATTTTATTTACTTCCGTTTTAGTTTTTAACGACACATTGTTTAAATGGTAGAACCAAACTTAAAAACTTGTATTAATTTCACCAATATTTACAATGAAAATAGATATTATCTAATTTTTTATAACCGGACAACTTCAGACTTCACTGTCAACTTAAAAACCGAAAACCAGAAAAAGAAAAAAGAGAAAAACCTGATGACTCAAAGGGCCATGCACTTAACATTTAGTGCCTCCAAAGGGCCATGCACCTCCCACCAACCCCTGCCACATGCAAAACCTTCCTCTCCCTCTTTTTTTTTTTTTTTTTTTTTTTTTCTCTCTTCCCATTAAAACAGAGTTTCAAGTTAATAACTTAGACAAACTTAAACATTGCTATTATTATTTTAAGGGCTTAGTCCACGCCTAGGACGGACTTTAACAGTGAGGGGGTTCGCCATTTCGCAAGAGAGCCTCAGCACCTCAGTTAGATCGACACCGTTGCCTTCATCGGACGGTACCCATTGAAACTCGTGCAAGAGACTCGCCACCCAGAAGGTCACGGTGCTCAAACCCAGAGTCTTCCCCGGACAAGTCCTCCTACCCGATCCGAATGGAGCAAGTCTCAGATCCGACCCGAAAACAGAAAACTCGTTCTCCAAACCCACGAACCTCTCCGGCTTAAATTCGAGTGGGTCCACCCATACTTCCGGGTCCCGTGCTATGGCCCACATATTTACCATAGCCGTGGTCCCTGCGGGCACATGATGCCCATCAATGGTGGTATCAGTTATGGCCAAGCGGGCCCAGGAGAGAAGCGGGCCTGGAGGATGCAGCCTCAGAACCTCCTTCACCACCGCCGGAAGATAAACGGTCATGGCCACGTCCTCCTCCGTCAAGGCACGTGACCCACCACCAACCACCGCGTCCAGTTCCTCTTGCACCCTCTTTTGCACCTCGGGATGAAGCACCATCCTCGCCAATATCCACTCAATCAAAACCGCCACCGTGTCGGTCCCTCTAAATATCATTTCCTGTCCAAAATACAAATTAAAAAATTAGGAACATATGATTAAATAGCCTTACATGATCAATAAGACATTTATTTATTTATATATGTATATATTATTTAACGTGGTATGAAGCAGCAGTGAGTAATTAAGTTCTTAGGTTAAATTTATATTATTTATTTTTGTGAGAATTAAATTAAACTTACCCAGAGGACAGCAATCATGTCGGAGTGAGACAATTTATCTGGACCTTGGAGAGAGAGCAAAACATGAACGAAATCGCGGTTGGTTTGGGTTATGTCGGCTTGATGGTCGGCGATAATTGAACCAACGAACCGGTTTACTTTGGGGACGAGTTTTGAGCAAGTGAACCGGATTTTCTGGAGGTCAAAGTCTTTGAGAAAAGGGAGGTGGTCGCCCCAATTAAGGGTACCCAATAAATCGTANCTGAATTTATAATTAAAAGTTTTGTATGTTCAATTTAGTGATGATAATGTTATTAGTAAAGTATATGAAAATTATTGTTAGTTAAATTTTTGCAAGGTACATAAGCTTGTATAAACCACGAGTTTTACAAATGTAAATAAGCTCGTATAACTTGCACGTTTTGCAGTACGAATGCAATTTGTTAAAATTGATGGCCATTTAAAATGTGAGCTATTCAAGCGAACCATTTTTTATTGGGAGCATATGCAATTGCATGTTTAAGTGAGCGAGCTTAATCACATATCTAACTTTATTCGTTGGTACGTTGTACCTATATTTTGAGATTGAATAACATGATTTGGTATAAAAAAATTTCCTCTTTAATCATAAATAATGTTTGAATAACACATTTAGATTTTATTGCACTAGGAATAGGCATTTAGGAGAGGAAAGAGCTTAAATGTTGTTTTTCATGCATATTCTATTCCTGTTTATGTAATCAATGCATATTCTCCATTAGTCGTTAAATTTCTTGACCATAATTATATTACCGAGCCATGTAATATACATGTGTCTCTTATAAAAGAGAATTTCAACAAGTTGTTAACTCTTTATCAACCATTTGATGACTTTTTTCTCCTAGCTTTGTCTTCCTTTGAACTATCCACTTTGCCTAAAGAAGAATGACATGTTTATGACACACGAACTAAAGTCTAACATATCTACTAGACTTTAATTGGAGTTACAAACCAATGCTCTTATATTCTTACATATTTTATTGTTTATAGTGCCCAATATGCACAAGGAAGTGCAAACCTCTATAGACTTATGAAATTAAAGTATTATACTAAGCCTTATTTGTGCACAAGATCAGTGACTATATTATTAAGCACAAAAGGATATTATTGTTGAGGAGTACATAAGGAATGATAATATTGTTGCAGAGTTATATAAAGGACAAAGTTTCCAGTTGCTCAACAAGATATAGTTTGTTAAGAATTATAAAATATGCAATGCTTTAAGCTTGAATGTAATTTGTTTTTATGGAAATTTTAAACCTTTGTGCTATTCATTTTGTTAAGTCATGCACTTTTAAGGAAATTTTACTACATCCTTTCTACCTTCTATCTTATATATTTATAGGCATGAGTGATAACTTAGAATACTCAAGTTCTTATAGGGAGATTGAGATTGCATAACCAAGAGTTGTTTTTGTATTTGTTTAATATAAAGTTTTGATTACTGAAATCTTTTAAAATTTTCATAAAAAGTGAATTAAACTTAGCACAAAAATTATGGGGGAGTCAATGTAAATTGTTGTGTTATTTTTCTTTGTGGTTAAATGGAAGACATTTTTTTTATTAAAGGTGAACTTGGTAAGGGATATTGGAAAATTTAACATGACTATGTTAGGAAAGTTGCATCGAAGAATGCTTCATGTAAAAGGAACACTTTAATATATAAGTTTTTTGTGCAAAACTAAGTGGGATTAATGAATGGTTGGAACGAGAGAAATATTAAAAAATGACTCTTATGACATTAGAATTCAGAAAATGACTAAAGGGGAAAGAGAGAAAAATGATTTGAATCTAACATTTATACAAAAATTGGATACAAAATCAATTATCAGTTTTGTGAAAGACTTGTCGATCGGTAATGTGTCCGTCAAAGTTAAATTTTATAGGTTATTTGATGTTTATGTCAACAATAAATTAATCTTAAGAATTTTGGTGTATATGAAAACAACCTCCTTAAAGAGTGAAGATTGATATAAAAAAGACTTTAAAGACATGATAAATTGGAACGT